AATATATATTGCGATCTAGTCACGTGATGCTACACCACAATACTAGAGAGAATCAGCTGTTACTCTCAGAAACATCCTTCTTCCTCTTATGCTCGGTTTCCAATCGCACCGCGGTATGATTGGTAAGGTACTCTGATGGATCGAACATGATCAAAGCCAATACAATGGCAATTACATTAAAAGGGATAGTACTGTACGAAATCATTCTAAACCCCTTCGCATATACATCTCGAAGTGCCTGAATCGAGGCAGCCTCAACTGCAGGAGTGATCCCAGGAACTGTGGCGAACGCGCCAGGGACACCGGCAGCATTTTTGATGGTCGCGCCGATCAGATAGCTGATGTTTGCTGGATCGAATTGTCCGGTTGAAAGAGCGACTTTCGCGATAGCGCTACCCAAGTTGTTGTTCACAACACCGTTCAGTATAGTGTTGAAAATCGCGTTTCCTACACTACCGCCCATACTTCGGAATGTGCCAATGAGACCCAATGCTAGACCCAGATATTGTAATGGAATATTTACACCAGCTGCGACGTAGCATAAGACTACAATCCACGAGAAAGGGCCTAGTATGAAGACCTGCAATGCGGACCAGGCATATACGTTCTTTGGAACTATAGTGGCCAATACAGCACAGAATATAGTCTGTATTGTGCATGCTGTAATCATTTGAAGTTTTAGGCGCTTGAATTTACCTAAGAGTGCAGTGACCATGGCCCCGAACACGAACTGTAAGATATAAGTAACTAAATGAACTGATATCTATAGATTGTTCATACCTGAGAGACTCCATTAGGTAGTGCAATCAACCCGATTTGAATTGGGTTATTGGTATACATAAATAGGGAGCCTTGCGGGAGAAGAGCGCTTAATGAGTAGAAATTGATGCCAGCATGTATATTAGCGATCACAACGTAAGAGCGTGGACTCTGTCGGACTCACCAGCCACAAATGTGATGCCGAGCAGAACTGTGTATTCCCTGAATTTCTTAAATATCTTCAAGGGAAAAATCGGTTGCTTGGCCCATACAAAATCGAAAACAAAGGCAGAAAGGAGTACCGTGAACCCCATTACTACGGGAATAATGACAGAAGCACTCCGCCATGGATGCCCGGCCCCACCAGCCCAGGTCAATCCTATCAGGAAGGTAGTCAACCCGCTTAAATATAGACTGAGGCCAACAAAGTCTATATCTTTTAACTCTTGCCATCTGGTTCTTTCAATATCGTACTGTGGCCGTGGGGGTGGAAAGTAAAATGTGAATACTCCGACTGAGCTGACGACACAGGAGACTAAACCCCAATAGTAGCACCAGCGCCATTTGAGAGCAGTATGAGCGTTCACGCTCGTTGCAATCAGTACACTAGGTATACCAAACGGCCTGGAGCCAAAGTACTGTCAATTCTTTGGTTATGTCTACGAGGATAAGAGAACGTACTGTGATTCTAAGTCAACCAAATGGATCAATCATACTGCAAGATCTATACTGACCACATTGATTGCAAGTTCAATCGCCGCTAGGCCGGTGCCGCTATTGCAATGTTAGCTGAATTCTTGAACTGAAAAGACTTCCAAGCCTACCGCCACTTGTTAGGAAGAATTTCGGATACGCCGGCGTAAGCAACGAAAATCATGCCTCCGCCAAATCCCAGGAATGTTGACCCAGCAATAATATTAGTAACTGAGCTTGCTGTGGCTGCAACAATCTGTCATTACAGTGAGTGGGTCGTGCCATGTTCTTGAAATCATTATGGCCTACCGCTCCGATCAAGCAAAAAACCTGGCCGCTGAGTATAGTCCACCGTCGTCCGAAGATATCACTGAAACTACCCGCTACGGAGAAGGATACAGATGATGCGATAGACCAACCTCCCACTAGCCAAGTAATTTTAGTCGGGTCTCCAAGATCTTGACCGATTTGTTCAACCAGAGCGACAGGGAGTGCAAATCCACACGCAATTGGACAAACATAGGATAATGCCAAGAACTGATTTGGTCAACTAAACATTGATATTGGTGGATGAGGGTACACACCACCACGGCAAGAATAGTGCGAGCAGATGGTCTTTCGGCACGATCAGGATTTTCTTCCAGAGCTGCTCGGTGTGGATCGAGGAAGTCACTCGGCCTGTCATCGATGCGCTCGGTCCTTTCGACTGAGGTTCCCCACGGAGGCTCGAGATGCTTTTCCTCTGTGGTAGCAATACTAGCCATCTTGATAGATTTTGTGTTCAGTAGGCAAAAAAATGCACAACAAGTCTTCTCTGATATTTAAAATTATGGCTTAAGTTTATATGATGCTCTGTCTCTATTGCGGGATGGCAAGGGCTAGGGATCCCTGATTATTATGTGGGACCTTTCGATGACTTAAAAGCTGCGTAGAGTTGATCAAATAAAGATATGCGGACAGATTGATTCCGTGAATCTAGTGGTTAACAAAGGACAGCTATAAGTAGCGTGAGTTGAGTTCGAGCAGACGAGGGGGTGGGGGGACCGCTAACTTACATAGCTATGAAGATTAGGAAAGGGTGGAGGCTGCCCGTTCACGTAGCGTAGATTCAATTTCAGCAGATCCGGGGG